TCAAGGGTTAAGATCCCCTTACCGGTCATCTTTAAAAAACAAACAAACAAAAAAAAACCCAATTAACCTTGTTAAATTCACATATTAATCCTAGTAGTTTGTCTTCTTTATTTTGTACATAGATATCATCTGCAAAAAAAAGGACTTTTCAAATTACTATCCCTTTTTACCCCATTGTATTGCACTGGCTAGGGCTTCCAGGATAATGCTGAATAGAATCTGTGATAATTAGAACCTTTATCTCATTCTCAGTATCAAGGGAAAACCTTTTAATATTTCACCATTAAGTATGATGTTTGCTGCAGAACTTTTACAGATTTTTTGAACCAGATTAAGAAAGTTCCCATTTATTCCTTACTTGCTAAGAATGAGAACTGAAGTTTCTCAATGCTTTTTCTGCATCTGTTGGGATGGCCAGATCATTTTTCTCCTTTGTTCTGTTATTGTGGTGAATTACACTGATTTTTAATAGAAAACCAACCTTCCACCACATAATGATTAAATTGCTGAGAACAGACAAACCATACTGAGGAGTGAGGATGTCTGCTTGTTCTTAGTGGGGACAAAGAACTTATCTTCTGAGACTGAAGATAGAATATACCCAGCAACCTTGCCAGAGGTGAAGAACATGATTATCACACTGTATCTCACACCAGACAAGCCCCCAGCCTGCCAAGAAATCACAGGAGCAACAATTGGAAGGGATGGGAAAATGTGACCTTTTTTTCTGGTGACAAAGACACAGGTTCTGCTCAGCCTAGCTGTGGTTAGCTGCTCACACTCATCATGGAAGAAAATGCTCAATTTCAGCTAGAGCTTAGTGAAAACAAAGCTGTACTTTTCCTCCAGACACAGAGACTTCTGAGAAGAGACTGTACAGAGTGCAGGGAGTGGTACCTTCTATGCTGCGAATGTCCTCCCGCCAAAGCTCTAGGTGGGTTGTCATCTCACGAGCCTTTTCAAGGAACCTTTTCCAAGACTTGCTGCTATACTGTTTCCACTGATCCCACTCACACAAATACTTCATTTGGGTTTCCTGAATGTCCCTGCATTAAGAAATGATCATGACAATGACAACTGCAGCATCATGAAGTCTCAGCATCAAATAAAATCCCAGATGAGAGGATGGGGAAAAACTGGAGCCCTCATACATTGCTGCTGGGAATGTAAAATGTTTTATGGAAAACAGTTTGGTGATTCCTCAAAACGTTAAACTTAGAATTACCCAGCAATTCCACTCATAGGTACATAACCAAAGGAACTGAACTCAGGGTTCTCAAACAAAAACTTGTCATGAAATGTTCATAGCAGCATTATTCACAAGAGCCAAAATGTGGAAACAACCCAGATGTCCATCACTGGAAAAATGGATAAACAAAACATGGTCTATCCATTACAATGGAATACTACTCAGCCATAAAAAGGAATGGAGTACCAATACCTACTATGACATGGATGGACTTTGAAAATATTACGCTAAGTGAAAGAAGCCAGTCACAAAAGGTCACATATTGTATGATTCTGTTTATATGAAATTCCAGAATAGACAAATCTATAGAGACAGAGAGTGGATTAGTGGTTGTCAGGGACTGAGAGGCAGGGAAAACAGGGAGTGCTATATAATGGGTACAGTTTCCATTTGGGGTAATTAAAAAATGTCTGTAACTGGATAGTGAGGATGATTGCACAAC